GAGTCTCTTCGCAGGACGGCAGCCTACGGTGAGCATCGACGGCGGCAATGCGAACTTCCATAGGTAAGAATCCACCAGTGTCGTCTATGCATTTCTTCAGTTCCCTTTGCAAGTCCTTCGTTTCGAGTCCCATATTGCCGACAGCTTTCAGAGCTTCCAGCGTCTGCAATTAAATTACATTAAAAATTGTTTTTATTTCTCACACGCTTCTACGCACGTGTATATGTTTTATCTTTTATTTTACTGCAGATAGTGAAAAGAAACTGATAAATATTTTACTTCTTTCGTCGAAGGAGAAGGATGAAAACGGGGCTCGCAGCCTTGCGAAATTTTCTGTTCAAGATGCGACAGGAACACGTTCACCTCTTCCAAATTACTGCAGTCAGCGTCGTTATTTCTGCAATACGTATAAATGATAGTCGAATAGCTCAGAATAAACTGGACATGGGGAATTTGAGACTGGAACTCCAGTAGCTTTGAAAGAGCTTTGATAGTGTCGCGATCCGGTTGTGGAAACAGAGCGAAAGTGACGATCCAATTATTGACGGTCATCTGATTAACGTATTTCTTGATTATCAGGTCATTCATTACGTTCACTGCGGCGTTGCTATTTAAATGTGGCAGTGCCGCGACAATATGTTTCCTGTTGAATAAAAAAAGAGCAGAAATGTTGTTAAATTGCATTGAATAAAATAAATTTGTCACAATTTTTTTTTTTATTTTTTTAATTATTAATCCTTCGACTTTTTTGTTAATAAGAAAAATGTTACATCTAAAAACACGGCAGTTACGTACTTCCCGTTTTTGCAAATGCTGTTAGCTCTGCTAAATAGCTGCGACAACAAGGGATAATCCAAGAAGCGTGCCGAATGGACGAAATTAGTGAATACTTCGGAGAATCTCTGTTGCAACTCTTCGGCGTTTCCAAGTCTGCACATGGTCTTCAGCAAGTCTCTGGAGGTTCGCAGCTCACCGTGCATAGTCTTCAGGGTCTTCGCGTGATCGTACAGCAACGTGGTCCTCTTGACGCGAGGTGTACGTCGCACAAAATTATCCTCGTCTCTTCCGTCATCATCGTCGTCTTCATCCTCCTCGAATCCGTGAACGGAACTCGTGCTTTCCTGAACCAGCTGAAGGACCGTTCGAGACTCGGTTTTGGCACCGGCTTTGTCGCCGTTGGAGAGCGGCTGCAGCAGTCGTACCTCCTCGCAGACCACCCTCTCGTAGATGTTATGATCGATCGTGATCTCGCAGTCGCTGCGCGACTTGAACAATCCGTGCTGGCGGTGCTGCTTTCGCGGACTTCTGTAGGGATTCGACTGCACGACGGAGAAGTACTTTGGCCCGTTCCGGCAGTCGGCCAAGTGCTTGCTCTTCTTCACGATCAGGCTGGTCTTCTTGGCCTCGTACAAGCGGTAGTGGGTTTCGCAGGCGCCGAGAACGTCCACCTCGTCGCCGCGATGGTCCACGTCGAAACGCCGCATGCTGTTTTGCAGCATCGACAGGACGCCCCGCTTGATGTTTAACGCCCAGACCGGCTCGCGCCGGTCCGGGCACAGCTCGTGGATCAGCCCGTCGTCGAAGGTGAACCTCAGCGCGTGACGCTCGAGGTTGGCCTTGAACTCGGAGCCGGCGCGATCCGGGAACTCGGGGTTGTACGCGCTACGATCGTGGCTGATGCTGGCGTTCAGAATTCTCAGGGTGCCCTCGCAGGGGTTGTCGAAGTGCACGGACAGGGTGGCGTCGATGTGCAGAGCCGAATCATTTCTCGAATGATGGGACAGCAGGTGATAGCCCAGATTCGTGCTCACATCCGCGGAATATGTGTACACATAATGGATATCTTCGTGATATTTGAATTTTCTCTCCAACGGAACTGAAAGGGACGGACACATCGTGTTTATAATATTGTTCATTTATAATTACAGAACATTTTCAATTTTATGTATATTATTTTGAAACAACAAATTCCTAACATAATTTGAAATTTATTTTTTCTACAGAAAAATTAAAGAAAAGGGTGAAGTTTTTTTCGCTATTTTCCAATTTCGTAATTTTTTTACTTCAGAACATATATACATTAGCGAATACTTCCTATTTAATTCATTTCATTATTCATTAGTAACACTATATTAAAGATGCGAGAAAGAATATAAAGAAATAAACATTAATATGTATTTCTGGAAGATAAAGTTATGTCTAACATTTGTTGTTTTCTGTGATTGACGTTAGTAAAATGTTTGTGCTTCGAAATATTTTTTGTGTCTATCAATAATCTGTTTTCTTAATCATTATCAATTCCTCGTGTTCTGTTATCTATGCAACTACGCGTTTGTGTGCAAAAATAAAATGTCGGAGTCCTTCACCTCGATAGACATAAGTTCTACGATATATTCGTCGAAATTAATTCCAATTTAAGCAATAAAAAAGAAATAGAAATATATATATGTATTTGTATATAAAAGGAAAAAAAGAGAAACATTTCGGATTAAGTTGATAAATTAATTATAATTAGTTTGATAAATTAATCAATAAATTGTTACATGATATCGATTATTTATATTAGAAAATTTGTTTGTATGCGCGCAGCAACGCAAGCAAGATACTATCAACACGTTCATTTGCGTAAAACAATCAGTTTGCGCGGATTAAAGTGCAAAATATATTATCTTTCTTTAAAATTATTGACATATTTACGAAGAGAAAAATGCAACGGAGAATAATTTCACGTTAGCGGTTTACAGAAAAAATGCGTGAGTCGTTAGAAAAATGAAACGGTTCTTCGTTTCCTCTTTCAACGATGCGCCATGGGATAAACTCTTGTAACTCAAGCCTATGGAAATATGATAGCTGAGTGTCGAACTGTGGCAGCCTGGACTATGTCTGCATGAAAATATTACCTACCCTTGCACTTTGTTCGGCCGCATAGTGTTGGGTCCTTGGCAATCTCTGTGGGAACGAAAAAAATCGAAATAAATGTTACGCACATGTGAAACATCTGGCAATCTGGCGTATATTAGTATATATATATATTACATTAGTATATTAATATATTTTATAATAAATTTTTTCGAAAAATAACACGTCCATTATTATACTAAGGCTGGAATGTATATATTATATTAAAAAATTGTAAATTCTTTGATAGAAATAAATTTCAATAATAAATAAATTTGAATAATATCTAATAATAATATTTAGTCTTAAAAAATTTGATTGTTCATTCAAGAATGACATTTTTAATACATTTTTATAAGCGCTATATTCCCAAACCATTAAGTCACAATATAAATTCACATAACATTTTTTATTTTTCGTTAATTTAGCGCGTCTCTCAAGTTTTACGTGTATAATATGATTAAACCAGTTACTTCGAGATCATTTTCCTACAATATAAATCTGGGCGAAACCCTGATGTTGCGTCCCGTCGCAAAGTACACCGTCGTTCGATAACGATTACGAGGAAATTAATGAGACACCGGACGCCGTAATAAATATATACACACCGGAAATTAACGATAATTACCTCCTCGCGCGGCAGTTATCGCGCACGCGAGTGCAAGAAGCAGTATCGCCTTGGCGGTCATGGTTTTCCGGGGGGGGGGGGCTACCCCTTGTCGCTCCCGGAATTTGCGAAACCCTCCGAGATCGCTCCTACCGCGTGGTCTTCATCCCTCGACGTGAGTCTATCGAAACATACGTCTCGTTATTTCGCCGAATCGATAGGGATCTGTCAATACGCGAACAATATCAAAGGGGCACCTCCGGAAGGATGAGGAACTTTCGTGATAAACGGTCCTCTTTCTCTCGCGCACCGTTCACTGTATTCTTCTCTTCCTGCAGTTTCCCGCGTCACTTCCAATCCTTGAAAGTTCTACTCGAAGAGATCTTAAATCACACTTGAAGAGATGTATCTACGGAGATCTGACGTTGCCGCGGCGGCTGGGCGCTTTGTCCCGCGGCGAAAATATCCGCGATAACCACCCGGGCGATAAACCCGGGGTGTGGATCGGCGGCTTGATTGGTGATGAAGATGGAAGTGGAGAGAGTAGAGAGAGTGTGTGCGGCGTCCACTGCGTTACGACTAAATAAGTATTTCCGTTGCTGGTCGACCGACGAATGGCCGAACGACGAGGGAGCGCATCGGATGTTAAAGGTCTCCCGATGCTTTCTGTGTTTGCGCAGGGGTCGGAGGTCCGCTTACCCGATAAGATATAGCTGCCTGCGACCGGATCCTAGGAAGCCTCGTCTCTCGGCGCCAAGCGTGTCGCACGCTGGAAATCGTCGGCTTCGAATCGTCGAAATCGCCAGTTTCGCTGACTCGACTGAAAGGGAAGGGAGTATCTTTATGCAAATAGCTTAAATTTGTAATCGTTTACCTTGTAATCGTACGTCGCGTGCTTTATTTTCGCGCCGAATTTGTTTCCAAAAAGCAGAAAAACGCAGCCGAACGAGACGGTCGCGAAAGAGATAAATTGACTCGCTCAAAATGATTGTAAAGATGCGCGAAATATTACGTAAACTAGAAGATGTAATAGGATTGCGTTATACTTTTCTTGCACATTCGAAAGTGCTTGTTTAGAGCTTCAGCTCTTCCGTACGAAAGATAAAGATATCTTTTTCTCTCCTAGTTTTAACGTTACGCGGAAATAACCGGATCTATCTACATTCGCATACAATTTGTCCGGGTATCGTTGCCAGCGTGAACAATTCTTTTTCATTTTGTGCGTGAAAAATAAACGCCGAGTATGTGGTGTGGATGTCGAAGAGTTTCAAAAATAATCGTTGCCTTTGAGTATCAACCTGAGGGTTCGAATAAACGAGAATAAAGAACGAAGAAATTAAACATAAGAAATTAGGGGAATCAGGGAATTGAGAAACCACATTTTAGTCCACAATAAAGGAATCGATTTATGATAGAGTAAAAGATAATAAAATTATTTTTTACTGTGCATAAAGTCAACGGATTAAAAATCAAGTTTGATCAAATTCCAATTACCTTAGGGCTGGTTGTTCCAGCCTGTTGGTAAACTACCTAATAGTTAAATCATATGTATGTCTTTGTTTATCCTTTACATCGGACAAAGATAGACATGTGATTTAACTATCAGGTAGCTTACCAATAAGTTGGAACAACCGGCCCTTAATCGATTATTAATTTGCCAGATAACATCTGTGCTATTTTGTTAATTATATACAGAATGGATTTTTTTAAGTTTATTCGAAGTTACCCTAAAGGCTCCGTTCCCGATTCTTTACGTTTGAAGATGATTTTGACCAAATTTTAATTATATAACTAATGTTTATTTCTATCAACGTAGATTAACTTTAATCTCGGTTTAACTTACTCTTTATCTTCTTTAAATTTTCAGAACTAAGAAAAGATTAGAAGTAAGTTAAACCGAGATTAAGTTAATCTACGTTGATAGAAATTAGAAATATGTATAAATCAATTAACTTTATTAAATATATAACTTTTTACGTAATACTATTTTGTTACTTATAACAAAATTTTGTTAATTATAATGGATGGAATTATTTATTCTTTGCTATTAAACATAAAGAAAGAAGATTGAATCCAACGAGTTGTATAATTAGAAATTTTTTAGCTAATTCTGAATTAATTTTCGACCAGCTAATCAAGTTCGCCCTAATTTCTTTTGTTCACTTCGTGTAGCGCGTTCCTAAGTTTACTGTGCACGCTAGTCGCTACGGTTGCGTTTCACGCATGATACGTACAGCCGCACAGAAGTTGTTGAAATTGAAGTGTGAAGAAGATTAAAGTTCGTTCCGTTTCTCTTCATGCGCACTCTCTGCGCGCATGAATAGATCTCCCAACAAATACATACGCTATCCCACCTCTTCCGGTGCATGAGACCGCATGAAGTCTGATGAAGTACCTCACCTCGCGCAAACTGCCGAACATGGCAATGACAGTGGATGATAGTTCCGTGGTGTTGCGCGACCAACATTTTGCCATGTACCTAGAAAACGTGAAATCATTATAATGCGCGCATTCTTACGCAAATTCCACCTTCTTTCAACAGAATTACGTTAATTCACAAAAATTGATCGTTAGGACGTAGATGGAAGTTGTTTTCAAACTGCGAGCAAGCTCTAACTCTCAACTAAATGTGGATGTGGAGTTTTGCTACTTTCTTGGATAGAATCAGACTTTATCTTTTAAATAAAATTTGATTCTATGCAGAAAGAAATGGCAGAATATAATTGCTCTATCTGTACTTATCGCTATATTTTCTTGTATCTTCCAGCATATAATAATTATATACAGCATCAAGTTTTATCTTTTACATAAAACTCACAAGGGGGAAAGCGATTATTTTTATTTCTTTTTTTATGTGTAAAAATAGGAATTTGTATCCATAAACGTGCAATAAAAATACCATGTCCATAGTTAAGGATTAAGCCACTTGACAATGTCTAATCGCGCTATCATTTCAGTTTTGCTTTTTAAATACCGATGGTATACATAACAATAATCTTGACATTGTAATAATAGATATGGCGTACTTTGTACAAAATTTAATTTCGGTAAATTCGTTTGCAATTAATTAAAGTACAAGTAATAAGTTACTAAAAAACTGAATAAATAAAAAACGAATTAAACTAATAAGCGATTTGATTTAAAACGTTTATTTTGTGACATTTTGACCGGCCATTTTGCGAGTGAAACAAAAGATGTTAGTTAAAAAAAAAAACGATTTCATAATATAAATACAAATATATTTCTTTTCGACTTGTTTAAATACAAAAGAACAAAGACACTGCCAATACTAAAAATCTTAATCAAATAACCTGACATAAAATAAATAAAATTAAGAGGATGTCAAGACAATAATAAAGCAAATCAATATTGACTAGTAATTTTATAATAATCTAGTAAAATATATAAAACGAAGTAACAATCGAATGCATATTACGTCAAAACAGTTTGATAAAGTTAATATTCGAACTTATAATGATGTAAGTATAGGTAATAATCAAGAATTGAAATGGCATGATGTAAGTTAAAATAATAAAAGTAAAGTAAATAAAATTTAGTCAAAAGTCAATAAAATGTTGTGACAAATTTCGTCATTGGAAAGATGAAAAGCACGAAAAACCAAGATTTTAGCTTAAATTTAAAATGGATCTGCGAAGAATTCGGTGATGGCAAAAATAAATCCCTACTTATAGTGCTTACTGTATATATAATGTAGAATACTAATATCTAGAATACCTTCGAAAAACTCACTGAACAATAATCAATCATTCCCGCTAAGTAGCACAAAAGTTTGAGTACCTTCTCGTGATAGCGTTCCGAGACCACGTGCGAAAACATGTTTCATATGTATAATATGAAACACAGAGTCTACCCCCTTCTCCTCCTTCTTTCACTGTTCTGCACAGAATTAATCGGAATCATCAGCAAGAGACGGTGGACAATCAGCCTTGCTTCGCAGAAGTTCCCGAGAATTTTTTAAATTATTATTAGAACTAGAAAAAAAAAAGAAGTTAAACCAAGATCAAAATTAGGTAATCTACATTGGAAGAAATGGACATAAGGGAGGGTACTTTGACAAATCTAAAAAAAGCTCGTTTGTGACGTGTGGCAATTGGGACTTAAACACCATGCTGCCGAATCAGTACGATTTGAATGGTATTACTATACCTTACAGAATCAATTAAAGCAATGGATAGATCATCTGAAGTACACGTTTTGTGGATCCACCGGATATTATCCGAAGGGCTTAAAGCAAGGGCATGCTTGCGCGATTAAAAAATAATTGCAAATATATATCTTATGATATACTATCAAAATTTTAATTTTTTGATACATCAGATAATAATATAAAAGATGATAAAAGTTATTGGTTAATGCTTGCACTGTTTAATTATAAACCATCCAAAAATAAAGAATAATGATGTTATAAAAAGTACGTAAGTCGTATAAAGTGCTGATTCAATGTATAAATTTCTTTTGAGGAATTATCCAATTATCCCGGAATAATTGGATCGCGCGGAAATATCGCGACGCGTTGCGAATTAAGCGAACCGGATGTAACGTTCGATCATCATCCGCGGTTATCGCTTATCTCATTAACGTGACGATGTTAATTTAGTTTTCAGTCAGTCGGAGAAGATTTTGGAGCGGGGCTTCAATCCGTTGCAAGAGGTTTGTTGGAAAGAGAGAGAGAGAGAGAGAGAGAAGGGTGTTATCAGGTTTTATATCTCCGACCGGCGAATATGTAAATGAATCAAAGATACAACCGGGCGAGCATGAAGACGAAAAGGTGGTCGTACCATATGTGATACGTGCGATGCGTGATCATGCTTGTTGAGTGTGTATGTGATGCATATGAGTATATAACGGGGACGCCCTTTTTCACGTGACGTAATGCCTGCGGAAAAAGAAATCGATATAAATGACAGTATAATGTCCATTTCTACTAATGTAGATTAATTTTAATCTCGGTTTAACTTAATTACTTTTTATCTTTTTCTAATTCTTAGAATTATTATCGAATTCTTGGAATTTGAAAAAGATAAAAAGTAAAGTTAAATTGCGATAAAAGAATTAATCTACATTAGTAAAAATAAACATGAAAGGAGTATTGCGTGCAGAATCTAATCAATCAAGACAATTAGCAACAAATTTCTTATTTTCTTTTTAATAATTAACTGCTTTAGATGTACATTTTGTAGGAACAGAAGATTACGTATCATTGAAAAGTTTTTGAAATATAATCTGCACTTTTTAAACATATGGAATTAAAGCGGCTTGAAAACAAATTTTTTGATCGATTAATACGATTTTTTAATGGCAAATTGCACGCGCATAACTATTTATTAATCGTTCAATTTGTTATATTAATATATTTTTGTTCATATCAATATAACAAATTTTTCATCATTCCCTCTTATTTGTTATACGTGAAAAACGTTGCGAGATATTTTAAATATACTAATTATTACCGAGTATTTTTAACAGAAAAAAACAAGAAACCTTGAAATTTTTTTTCAATCGTATATCACATATTTTATTGCTGTGACTACTTTTAGGCTGCATTCCGATATTCACTGTCAGTACTGTAAATCTATATTTTAAGTCACGTATATACTATAGATTTTCTGTACTGAAAGTTAGCGTTTGATTGACCAATCAAGATAAAGAATTTTACTAATTGACCAATCAAGGAATACTTCGAAGCGTTTGTAGCGTCAAGAGGCTATCCCAGACTTTCGTGGAACCGTTGTCGAAACCTCCTGTACGTATGTATGTACATTACACTATTGAAATTCGTACTACTATATAGTTATACCATAGTTTGTGTCGCTTGCTGGAAAGCTCCTACTGTTTATAGTCAATTTGACGTTACATTGACAAAAAATGACGTAAATTCGGTCATGAGTCATGACCGTCATCACATCAAATTGAATTTCATTATTTTGACTTTCTGTTCTTGGGATATATTATCTATAATTAAATGTGTAACATTATATTTAAATATACTATTCTCATACAAATAGACAAAATAATTAAATAGTTTTTTATCCTAATTGTATATAATTTCATAACAAAATATATATACAGCTAATTTGATAAAATGTTTTATTCAACATCTTCGTGTATTATTTCATACAAGATATTAATATTGCACTTTGGCAATTTATGTAACATAAACTGTATGTGTTCTGCACAGTAATCATATATTAATTTAAAAACATAAAAAATATAATTATATGATTGCATATGATTGAATACATTTATGACAAAATTATAGAAATTTGAATGTTACATTTATATTATCACTTAAAACACTTTATTTGAAACAAGGAATACATAGAGAATTATTTTTTGTTTCGTTTTCAAAAAGTAATCGTCCTCTAGTTTGTAATCTTGCGAATTCTGAATGTATGTTTTTGGGTACATAATATTCATTATGTTCATATATCCATAACTCCGACTGCATAATTTTTAGAAGGTCTAATTGTCCTGATCGACGTGCTTTATCACAACCCAATCTTATCATGTTGAGGAGTGCTTCTCGACGTTCTCGTTCCGCAGCAACCTCTAAAGCAATAAATGCCAATTCCTTGTTTTGCACGGTATCATTCTTACTCAAGGCCCTCAGTAGTTCCATTATGTCTGTTTCCATAAGTTTTGCAGCAACGTCTATCGCGCTTCTCATCATATTTATCACAATTATAATACCCCTTTCTCGTATGTCACAGTATGGATTAATGAGTAAAAAGCGTAGGGATTCTAGCCAGGTATTCGAATCAAAAACTTTCTTGCAAGCCTCTTCATTGGCTGCCGTCAGCCACGCTAGAGCTGAAGCTGCCGATCTGCTAACATTTTGATTCTCGTCCTTGCACAGTAACATAAGATACTTAACTCGAGAATTGTCCTGCTTGAAATATTGGATAGCGAATTCACGGTTTGATACTAATATGTTTATAAGTGTTATAGACGCACATCTCAAATTGTGATCCTCCTTATACAGGAAGCCCTCGATCTTCTGAAATACTTCTTCCTTGAATATATGTTCTCGCATGTTGTCGTTGACACTAGCAAGTTTGCACAAAACTAACAGAGTCGCATGATCCCAAATGGAACACTCTGGGTTCAAAAAGTTCATGATTGGCCGAATAACGTCCATGATTATCTGACCAGGAAATGCAACCTCAGGACGTATCGTTAGCCCTAAACGAACCAGAGCTTGCGAGGCTTCCTTCTTTCCATTGTCTGTGCCATCTAGTGCTAACGACAACAATGCCTTCGTGCCGCCTTGTTCAACAACCATTTCTCTCGATTCCTCTACACTACATATCGCGTTGAAAACGCGGGCTATCAGTTCCTTGCAGTTCTTGCTGTCTGTTTTGGCGAGGTTTACCAGAGCGCTCGTCACACCGGCCTTCGCTAAGGCGCACCGTCTGTTACTCACGAATTTAATGCTATTTAGTTTCCCGTGTCGCACGAGAAAACGACGAGACAAGGCAAACGTTAGCAATTCTTTCATCTCAGGTATGAGTTCTTCATCGTCATAAGCGTTGCACAAATTCACCAACGTCGTGACCACAGCGTAGAGTACTGATTGATCGTTAGTTTTGGCAAGCTCGATCATTGCTTGAACAACGCGCTTGAACGAACGTTGATCTTCGATCAATTTCTCTTTAACCTCGGTATCGGAAGTGAGATACGATAGGCCTTTAATGGCCCATTTTCTCATATCTTCTTTCGTGGGATTGATCAAGAATCGGTTGCAAACCATGGCCAATTCCTTCGTCGCTCCACGCGGGAAGAGTTCGATAGTCGTGCAACCGCGTGTGCTCGCTTCGAATCTGTTCAACTTGCACAAACCCACTAATGCTCGAACCCGAATTGAATCATCCTCAGATTGATACAGTTTCTCCAATATATTTACACCTCGACATATAAACACATTAGCCTCCTTATATTTGGTCATAGCTGCAACAATACATTCGCAGACCACTTTCTCTTGCAATACATCGTCGGTTTCCGCCATAGCGAGTATCATCTCAACCATCCCTTCTTTAAAGATAATTGCATCTGCAATTTCTATCGGGCCAAATATTAAGGTTGTTAATACAACTACTACACGCACCTGAAAAACAATCGATTAACTATTTATGAATTTGTACATTTTATATAAACAATAAATTTAAAAAAATATCAATAGTTAGTTTTATTTAATTTTTAATAAAAATTAGAGAAATTAGGTTTCAGAAAATATATAAATGAAAAAGTCATTTTTCAAACAATTTCAATTATGAATTGAAAGAAATATATTTTAACATTTTTGCTTTAAAAAGTAGCATTTTAACGGCTCTAAAAATTCTATAATTAAAAGAACGTTTTAGTTTTAAATGATTTAAATAATCAAAAGATCTCGAAATAAAATACCTTGGATTCTGTACTAGGCGAAAGCAATTTATCTTTAATAAATTCATTAATGGTGTTGGTAAATTTTTCCTTAGCAGCATCATAGTACACGTTTTTATATATTTCTGCTAAACACACACTGATTATAGCTCGGGTGGAAAACGTAATGTCCATCGAAGATTCACATTTGTATTCCTCCATTTCACTGGCTACCTCCATTAATTTCTGCAAACCGCGAAGTTCGACAAATCGTTCCACCCAGTTTAATGCAGTTACGCAATGAATGTTACGCATAATAAGTTGTA